GGGGTAAGACTGAGGAAAAACTGGATTAATTATGTATACTGTATTGAAACAGATGAGGGAAAGAACAGATTAGAGGCGATATATGATTGAGTATTATGGTTAGCACAGGAATCCAGAATTAAGGTTGCATAGAGAAGTGTCCTGGGGTTGGGGTAGGGGATCGGGAATTGTGTACCAATGAAGGAATTTTTTTCTTTTCGGAGAGGGGAGCGAAGTGGTGGGGAGGGGAGGGCAGGGAGAAAAGTGCGGCAAAGAATGAATGGAAATCCAAAATCTCTGTAAATGTTTATTAACATTAATAAAAGAAAAAGAAAAAAAAATTTATTATTCACTTCAATGAAAATTTACAGAGACTTTGGATTTCCATTCATTCATTGCTGCACTTTTTTCCCCTCTTAACCCTCTCCCAGATGTATTTTTAATTTCTCTTCTTCCACTCCCTAGGACTGGCTTTAATTTTGGAGTGCTCCCATCAACACCAGCTTCTAATTTTACTGGTGCCCAAGGTATAGTCTCTACTTTGCGTGTATTTTTGTGTTCCTCCCAAACAAGTGCAAGTTATTTTCATACAAATATGTTGATATTTCACTTGCTGGTTAAAATACCATTAGCAGGTTTGGTATTAATAGGATATATTAGAAATATGTTCAATTTGGAAAACTAATGCAAAAGATTTCTGGCTGGTTTAGTAATTAAGAACATGTAAAAACTTCCTGAAAATCAAGGCTATGTAATTGCATGTTACTGTTATGATGTGAATTAAAATATCTTGAAAATTTAAAATTCAGTCTATTTTCAAGGTGATTCTATAGAACAAGATAGACATGATACTATAGAAAAGCTAATTTGTCTTTTTTTCTTGGTAACATTTCAGTAAACAAACTGGTCTTATTCATGCTCTTCTGTAGAGTCAGCATTGGCATGTTTTTAATGTTCTAAAAGAAGTTGAGACCCATGAACCAAATGTATCTCAATGTACTGTTGTTTGATTAATTAATTTTTTTTCTTTTACTTAAAAAGTAGTATGTTCATGTTGAAGAAAATAGGAAGATGAAAAAAGGGGTAAAGGAATTAGAAAGTGTGCCTTCAGTGATAACTTATATTCTGTTGTATTCCTTTTGCAGGTTTTGTCTTCTGGAGTTATTTCATTTTTTCCATATAACATAATCACTTGAGAATTTTCTAATGCAATTGAAATGATCTTGGATAATTGTTACTCTTAATGACTAAATTTGGAAGCAGGAGGGGTATCCTCTTCCTAAATAACATATCTCCAGAAACTCTGTGAACTTTGGTAAATGTCGATAGTTGTAGAGGGGCTTCAGGGCTTTTTTTCATAGGGTCGCTATGAGTCATGCTCGACTTGAAGGCAGTCAGCAACAACTATCACTATTTCTAGCTTACAGATAGGCTATAATTTATTTAACCATTCACCTGTTGGACTATGTGCCAAGTAAAATGGTAAATGTTTCTTAGGAAGTTAATGAAAAATTGGGAGCTGGAACATTGTGGACTTCCTAAAAACCTGATTTATGTGTGGTTCTTAAAGGGCAATGGATTTTATTCCTGTCTCTTTGGAACATAGTTTTTTAACCTTCGTCCTTTTAGGTGTGGCAGAATACCTCAAGGCCCACCTCCTCACCAGTCCTTTTGTAGAGAAAAAAAAAACTCATTGATATAAAGAGATTGAGGAAGAACAAAATAGTTGTCTAAAATCATGTTGTTGTTGTTATTGTTAAGTGCCGTTGAGTCGCAGGCGACACATAGTGACCCTATGAAGGAGAGTCCTCGACGCTTGGGTGCCTTTCATCCTCTCTCCAGGTTCATAGGGTTTCCGGAGGCAAGCTATTATGGAAGTGGGTGCCACTCCCTCTTCCAAGCTTGTTTTATTCGGGGAGCTCCACCCCACTCTCTGTCCACATTGGGTAGCCAACCATTAACGCATTTGACACATCAGTGTCACAGTGTCTAAAATTATAAGGTAAAATAATAAAAGACAATAGTAATTCTGCAGACATTTTTATTAATACAGGAACATTCCAAAAGTATAAACTGCTCAATGTAGAAGAAGTCTTTCTGGAAATTGCTCACAGATAGTAGGAATGTGGGTGGCAGGCAGTGTTCCCAAGTAATAAGACTTCTTAAAACAGTATGGAGTTAGAAACATACATAAACACTTGCAATAAGCTATTTTATGTGTTTGTGTGTGTGTGTGTGTGTGTGTGTGTGTGTGTTATATATATATATAAAATAAGCTATATAATACATATTTTGGTTATAAGTATAAAATGTTAGTCACTTTTATTTATTCTAAGTACATAACTATTTGATCAGGCATTCGCTTGAGCACTTTAATGGCATTTCATTTGGTCCTTTGTAACAACTCTGAGGAAGGTACTGTTCTTATTTTTGTTTTCCAAATGGGAAAACTAGAGAAGCCTTGGGAGGTTGAGTCATTTCTGCAGTAAGTGGTCCACGTCCCTAACCACCGCCGTATTACCTCTACACAATCCCTGTCTAGCAGAGCTATATTCACTGCCATCAATCTGACTGTAGCTCGTAGCAAGCTTCCATTAGTTTTCCAAGGGTGTAAATCTTTACAGGAATAGACTGCCCATGTTTGTTTGTTGTTTTTTTTTTAATTAAAAAAAGTGGAACTTCCATTTGGATCAGTTCCTATCTAGAAAGGTACTTTGTCAAGGATGTCATTGAGGAAGGCACATAGTCAGGGGAAATATTAAGGGAAGATGACCGTTTTCTTTCTCTTTTGAGATAATGTTACCTTCATGTAATCTTTATATATATTTGTTGTGATTTACTACTTACCAAACTAATATTATTTCCTCTGACCTTAGTGAGATAATTTAGACAAAGTCTAATGTTCTTATAGAAGCCCAGGTAATGTAGTGTGTTTAGTGTTGTGCTGCTAGCTCAAAGGCTGGCAATTCAAGTCCACTGGTGACACCATGGGACACAGATGGACAGTCTCCTCCTGTAAAATTCATGGCTTGGAAGCTGACAGAGGATTGCTAGAGGCAGACTTGCCTCAATAGTCACGTAGCAGTGGGCTCTTTTGTTCGTAGCATTCCTACATCAAAACACTCAATGGATCCTTTCAAAAGAAAACCACTATGTGAACAAGATAGCCCTTACCTCGTAAAGAAAGGATTCAAACTTTGGCTTGGAAATAATCAATGGAAATGTAATAGGATGTATTTTGTTATATCACCTCATTTCCTAATTCCTTTTTCCCTCTAGGAGCAGCTCCTCCCAATAAAGAGTCGAACCTAACCGACACATTGTCGTTTGGTGGGGTGAGCAAACCTTTTCATGAGAGCACCCTGGAGAGTGCACCTCCTCCAGGAAGTACCTCAGCCTCAAACGCCACTGGAACTGCTGCTGTTCCATCAGGAGAGTTTGTTGCGTCCAACAGCAGGCTTGGGACACCTCCAGTAGCTGTTCCTTCCACAGCCTCTGAAAAGCTGGAAATTCTGCCATCTAAGTTGGGAGAGGCTCTGCTACCCAATTCTCTGCCTGGAGAGACTCTTGGAAGCTTCTCCGGACTGCGGGTTGGCCAGGCAGATGAACCTGCAAAGATAGCCAATAAAGCTTCCTCCATGAGCTTGGCTAGCGCACAGTCAGCCAAGACACCAAGTGCATCTCCAGGGCTTGGTTTTATTAGCCCTCCAGTGTTGGGGAAGCATGTAGAGCCCCCTGTGAGCTCCTCCGCAACCCCTACTGCAGGAGCACCCCCAGCAGCTGCCAGCACAGGCACTAGCAGTGCCTCAGCCAGCATTTTTGGCAGCCTGCCACTGACGAGTGCAGGGCCCTCTGGGATGGTCAGTTTTGGTGGGTCATCTTTAAGTGGCAGCAAGACTAATTTTTCATTTGGAACCCAGCCGACCAGTAGTGCTGTGACCCCACCTGCCCCACCATCAGCTACGACTGCCACTGCCTTGCCCCCATCATTCCCCACATTGTCACATGTTAACCTCCTGAGTCCAGCTTCCACTCCCACTCAGCCAGTGTTGTATGGGAAAGGTACAGAGCAGGGCCCATCCTTGCCTTTGCCTGAGAAGTCAGGCAGCAGTGAGATAGTTGCATCAACATCCTCCCTTCCAGGGCATCAGCAGCTCTCCCAGCTTTCCCTGGCTCCTCCTCAGACTCCTGACTCTAATAAAGAGTCTGCCGTGGTCCAGCCTACTGTTAGCAGCTCCACCCCTATGGCACTGAGTACTAGTCTGATAGTACCTTCGACAGAGGCCAGTCCAGCAGCCACCGGGCTCCCCGATGTGAAGACAGAGGCAGTATCTCCGGCTGCCACATTTTCAGCACCTGGGCAGACTGCTGTCACAGCAGCTACCCTGCCAAGCGCAGTCCTTGTGTCTGCAGAAACAACAAGTACCCTCACCACCTCCAGCTCAATATCCAGCATTGCTCCAAGCCCAGCCACAGAGACACCAGTGTTTGGGACTGTCACTTCCAGCTCATCTGTCTTTACTCAGCCACCTGCTGCCAGTTCTAGCTCAGCTTTCAGCCAGCTCACCAACAACACAGCCACTGCCCCCTCCACGACCCCCATGTTTGGGCAGGTGGCGGCTAGCACTGCACCAAGCTTGTTTGGACAGCAGACAGGAAACATAGCCAGCACAGCAGCATCCACACTGCCAGTCAGCAGCTCAGGGTTTGGCAGTCCAGCTTTTGGCACCTCTGCAGCAGGGGTTTTTGGACAGGCGACCTTTGGGCAGGCCCCTGTCTTTGGGCAGCCTACAAGCAGCTCTGCGAGCGGCTTCTCATTCAGTCAGTCTGGGTTCAGTTCTGTGCCTGCTTTTGGTCAATCCATTTCCTCCACTCCTACATCTAACAGTGGGAATGTCTTTGGCCCCTCTTCAAGCACCAGTAGCTCCAGCTCCTTCTCATTTGGACAGTCTTCTGCCAACGCAGGAGGAGGAGGAGGACTGTTTGGCCAAAGTAACCCTCCTGCCTTTGGTCAGAGCCCAGGCTTTGGACAGGGAGGCTCTGTGTTTGGTAGCACCTCAGCCACCACCACCACAGCAGCATCCTCTGGCTTTAGCTTTTGTCAAGCTTCAGGTAAGAATGTATGCAAGATTTTTACTTGGTACCCTTGTGATACTTGAAACCTTTATGACAAGGCTGCATCACTCTTGCAATGTAAAGAAAGGTAATACAAGCAAAAAAGACTCTTTCTAGTCTGTAAAATCACAAAGGGACTGTGGAGCACTTGAGTTCTCATTTCTTTACCTACTTAGATGGATCAACCGCAACTGACTGTAACTCTAGTTTTGCTTCTCAGCATATTCTGCAGTCAGCTACCAGAGTGCCAGTTTCAGGGGAAAAGGAAGCATCCTTCATTGAAGGCAGTGATGGAAAATTCATTGGCTCATAAACATGAAGTTTTGAATTGAGAAATACCATTACAGGTCACTGTGTCCAAAACTGACAAGCCTGCAGTTGGCTGATCTAATATCCTAGAGTGCTAATGGTGAAGACAGAACCAGAATCCTTAGTCTTTAGTGGCTTTTTTAGTTCACTGCCTGTTAGGATTCTGTCTTCCTCTGGCACCATTTTGTTTGCTAGACGGATATGTTCAGACACTTGAGAGGTCAGGTTTTGTGGAGGGTTCCCTCCCCTCCATTTCTCAAAATGATTTTTTTTTATTCTAAACTTGACTAATTTTGAAAGTGAAATTTAGTCCTTCACTGTTGTGTCCAGTTATAGCAGCTTTTACTTCAATGTGAAAATCTTTCCTCAGTTTTGCTTTCTGATATTTATCTTACAAATAAAGATCTTCAGCAGCTATGTGCTTGGGGGGAGAGTATCTATGACTTTATGATAGGCAAAATTCATTACCCCAGAGCTAATGTCTTTGAAAATGGTTCAAAGTTCACTAGAAAGTGCTCGCTTCGGCAGCACATATACTAAAATTGGAACGATACAGAGAAGATTAGCATGGCCCCTGCGCAAGGATGACATGCAAATTCGTGAAGCGTTCCAAAGTTCACTAGAAAGAAAACATTTTCCCTCCTTCCATTTAGTGAATGCTAGTGAACTACTGAGTTCTAAGTGCTGTGTTGAGCTGTAAAGCTGTCAGGACACGGCAGTGAAAAGACAGACTCGGTGCACTGTGAAGAGGCCTGTGGACTCATTTGAATGATGTCGTGAGTTGACTAGAGAATGACTAGAAAGAGAAACAGTTTTTTTTAAAAAGTAGGATACCTAATGCATCCTCTGTTCTGCAGTCAGTATTGTGAAACTCATGCATAATCATTATCAAACTGTTAAAACACTATTCAGAATCCTGAAGGAAACCTTATTCATTCAATGAATGTATAGAAAGGCCCCTTAGCCTGCTGCAGTCTGATTGGGAAATTGAGATTTGCCGAAACTTACCTACATACATCAATGACAGAATGGAATAAAACTTCCATCTTCTGACTCTTCATCCAGGATTTCTTTTTTGAATAACTGGTTCTTCCAGACTTTCCCAGGTCCTCTTGAGCCCACCACCTCCTCCATCATCATATGCCACCAGGAAGAAAGATAAGCTACACTAAAAATCTGGTATTTGAAGGTCAGAGGAAACCAAGGGTTCGAAATAGTCATGTTATTACATTAGTCATTGCAGAGAATTCTTGGTGACTTAAAATGTGAGGAGAGGCCGTATTCTGTCAATAGACCACCTTCTTAGCTTTCACCCCCCCTGTGATTTGGTAGGAGAGAAAGATTCAATCCTTAGAATGTAATTGAAGGATAGGTTAGCATATTTGAATGCATTTTTTTTTTTAAAAAAAAGCGTTCACCCAAACTAAACCTTTATTTTCTTTGTATTTTATAGGTTTTGGATCAGGCAATACTGGTTCTGTGTTTGGTCAAGCAGCCAGTACTGGTGGAACAGTCTTTGGTCAGGTAAATGTTTGTGCCCGTCTCATTCATGTCGATGGATACTAAACCCAACAACTTTTTTTCCTCTTGTTGTTTACTGTCAAGTACACAACAACACCTCCTTCTCTAGTGGAGCATCTGGAGGATTCAAACTGCATGCCTTTGGGATTGTAGTGCAGCTTCTTGCCACTAGGCCACTAGAGCTCCCTTAAACCCACCAACTTTTATAATTCACACAGTTCAGTTGAATGTCCAATCTCAGAATTCTCTTGTGGTTCCTGAACTCCATCCTTTTTAGGTCCCTCAGAGACACAGCAGTCTCAGCATCTAATGTGAGACTCATAGGGATTTTCATCCTTTGTGATAGTCTGCAAGGAAAGTACTTTTTAAAAAGCATTTCTGGAGCCCTGGTGGCTCTGTCATAAGGAGTTGGTGCTGCCAACCCAACGGCATGCGGTTCAAGTCGACCAGCTGCTTTGTAGAAGATGAGTAATCTCCTCCCAAGCGATTTTTTTTAAAGCATTGCTTGCCTCATTTCCATTTGTTTTCTGCAGGTTCTCTTGGCTTGTCAGGTTAAATCTTCCCTTTAGCTTTGTTTCTACGTTTTATGGTTCTTGAGTTTAAAAATGTTTTAAAAATTTTAAATAGTTGTTATTAACAAAAGAAAATGAAGCTGTGACCATATGTAACCCACAAAACCGGAAATATTTATTATGTGGCTCTTTACCCAAAATTACAGTCCCTGTGCTAATCTGTGTGTAGTCCAGGATTCTTTTTGGTGACCTAAGCAGTTTCACTTTATAAAGCAAGTAGTTAGTGCCTGCTGTGCTCCATTCAAAAAAAAAAAGTGACCCGACAGGTTGTGGAAATTATAAAAAGCAGTATCACTAATATCATACACAAGCAAAATCCTGATGGAAATTATTTAAAAGGAAAAAAAAAATAACATCACATGACTGGACCAGTACATTGACAGAGAACCACCAGAAATACAAGCTGGGTTTAGAAGAGGTCTTGTCAGATGAATCTTGGAAAAAAGCAGAGAGTACCAGAAGAATGTCTATCTGTGTTTCATTGACTATGCAAAGGCGTTTGACTGTAGATCACAGCAAATTGTGGGTAACCTTGAGGACAATGGGAATCCCAGAACACTTAATCGTGCTCATGGGAAACCCTATACTCAGACTGGAAATTGACCTTAGGACAGAGCAAGGAAACACTGCATGGTTCAAAATCAGGAAAGGAGAGTGTCAGGGATGCATCCTATCTCCATACCTTTTCCATTTTGTGCAGAACAGATTATTCGGGAGGCTAGCCTTTATGAGAAAGAATGTGGCATCAGGATTGGAAGAAGACTTACCAACAACCTATATTATGCAGATGACACAGCCTTGTTTGCTGAAACTGAAGAGGAACTGAAGCACTTGCTGCAGTAGGTCAAGGACTGTAGTCTTCAATATGGATTGAAGCTCAACATTAAGAAGACAAAGATTCTCACACTGGGCCAATTGGCAGCACCATGATAAATGGAGAAGAGATTGAGATTGTTAACAGGTACAGCTTCCTCGGCTCCACAAACAACACTGTTAGCACCAGCAGTCAGGAAATCAAAAGACAAATTGCATTGGGAAAATCTGCTTCAGGGACCTCTCCAGAGTACTTAGAAGCAGCTATCAGTCTAGATACTAAGGTGTGGCTAATCCATGATCTTCACAAATATTAGCTGTGCCTCAGAAAGCTGGACTAAGGATGTCAGAAGAAGAATTGATGTCATTGACTTGTGGTGCTGAAGAGTCTTGAACATACCATGGACCACCAAGAAGACAAGTAAGTCTTGTCTTGGAGAGGGTGAAACCAAGTTTTGCCTTGGAGGCTTGGAAATTGAAACTCCATCTCACATACTGTGGGTACGTCACCAGGAAGGATCTGTCCTTGGAGAAGGACGTCATGCTTGGAAGGGTGCAGGGACAGTGCAGGAGAAGAAGAACCCAGATGAAATGGATTGACACAGTAACTGGGATAATGGGGATAGGTATGTTGGAATTAGTGAGCCTGGCTCAGGACAGGGCAGAGTTCTGAGCTGTACATAGGGTCACTATGAGTTGCAGAAGACTCGACGGCATATAACAATGACAACTCATGCACAGTTGTAAGTGCTTAATGCTTATGCATGCAGTATCCATGATACACAGATCCATTCCTAACTGTGCCTTTTGAGAATTTGGAGGTAATGTGTAATAGGTACATATGGTTTCTGTTTAACCATACTTCTGTTTTTCATCACCATTGAGTCTGAACCAATTCATACCCAACCCTCCAGTGATTTTCTAAGGTTGTAAATCACACAGGAGGAGATTGCTCATCTTTCTCCTTCAGATCTCTGGTAGATTTAGAGAGGCTCAGCTTTGGGTTAGCAGCATACTTCCTACAGACAGTACCACAGAGTGTCCTTAACCTTAGCTACTAGTAGAAAGCATAAGATGCCTTCTCAGTGATTTTATTTATATATATAAAGTTTTCTTAGTATTTATTTTAGAAGTTATTACTTGGATGAAATTTCTCAGTGATTTTTCAAAGATGCATCTGTAGCACGTGAAGATAATTGTGATAAAGAACCTGACTTAAGTATTTCTAAGTGAGGGCAAACTTATATTAAAGGGCAAGTAAAAATTAATCTAGAAATGAAAAACAAACTAGTTCACTGTATATTTGATTCATAACGTAGGAACAGCCTTAAAAACCTCATCTGATCGTCTTAGTGCCTCTATTTATGCAATTTTTTAAATTGTGTGTTTTTGTGTGTGTACTGTCGAATCAATCTGACTGGTACAGGAAGATATTCCCCCTCCTTCTCCAGCGGAGCATCTGGTGGATTTGAACTATGCACCTTCAAGGTTGCAACACAGCTTCTTTCCACTAGACTCTCAGAGGTCCCTATTTAAAATCCATACTCCCCGCAATGACCTGGGTTCACATGGTTCTCTTCTCAGACCGTGAGCATTATTGGACTTGGTTCTAGGATAGTGGTACCTCCAGTTCCTTGGCAGACATAACATAGCCATTATGCTTCAAATTATTCTTACAAATAAATTTTACACTTATTTTCACAACTATGTAAAATGTACCTAGACACTATAAGCAAGAGCTAGCATAACTTCAGAAATGAATAGAAAATTACAGGAAATGTCATAACAGCTTTGGCAAACAGAGTCAAATAGAACTTCTTGGAGGATTCAATAATTAAAATTTAAAACTTAACACACATGAATCTAACAACAAATTGGATCCATCTGAAGGGAGCACTATTGTGCAAGAACAGGTATCCATAAGCTTTCTCCAGAAGACACCTGATAGTAAATATTTTAGCCTTTGTAAGCTAAATGTAGTTGTAAATACTCAGATCTGCTGTTGTAGCATCAAAGCACTAAATCAGTTGCTGTTGTTGTTATTGTTATTAGGTCCTAGTGAGTCAAGTATGACTTTTGTAACCCTGTGAACAGCATATTGGAACCCTATCCTATCCTGTACCATCTTCATGATCTCTAACCATTGCTGCAGTCACTGTGTCAGTCCACTTGGTTGAAGGTCTTCCTCTCCTTCACTGTTCTCCACTTTCCCAAGCATCATATCCCTCTACAAGAAATAACTTCTCCTAGTAACATACCTAAAGTATCGTATTACCTAAACTGATGGAGATATGGTTGTGTGCCATTAAAACTTTAAACAAACAGGCACATACCAGAATTAGCCCGTGGGTGATAGTTTACCACCTCGTGAACCAGAAGGCAGGTCAGAAGAAATGACAATGTGTCCTGGAAAGCTAAAAGTATGAAAGTGGGAGCAAACTCCAACAAGAAAAAAATAGCTCTAATATACATTTAATTAGAGTCTCAGAAGAAGGGAGAGAGAAAGTGTGTAAGAATATTAAAAATTTCCAAAATCTGCAGAGGTCAATAGTTCTTAGGTTCAAAAAGCTGGACAAATAATGAACAGAATAGACTGTGAGTAATGTGACCTGTCATAGTGGAACTGTAGAATAGCAAAGAGAAAAAAATAAGCAGTCAGAAAAAAAATAGGTTACTTTCCAAAGAGGCAAGGATTAGACTGACAGCTTACTCCTCTATAGGAGTAAAAATCAGGAGGTGCTGTTTGTTCCAGACCTAGGGAGAATAAAAAGAAAATATTCTGAGAGAAGTAAATAAGACTTTTTTAAATAAATATTGAAAGAATTATAAGTCTTCAGACATGAAGGACATTCTAAAGGGCATCCTTCACGCAGAAAGAAAATAATATCTTATTTAAGTGTAAAATAATAAGATTTTTAAAAAGTGATAAATAAAAAAGTGATGTATGTTAAATTTAGATATATTTAAATATATGTATTATATATATTTATGTTGTTGTTGTTATGTGCCATCGGGTCGCTTGCGACTCGTAGCGACCCTATGTACAACAGCCCTAAACTCTGCTCTGTCCTGTGCCAATCGCACTGTCTCCAACACTCTCATCCCAATTATCCCAGTCACTGAATCAATCCACCTCATAGAGGGCCTTCCCCTCCTGCACCGTCCCTCCACCCTCCGAAGCATGATGTCCTTCTCCAAGGACCGGTCTCTCTTCACAACATGTCCAAAGTATGTTAGACAGAGCCTCAGAATCCTTGCCTCCGAGGAGCCACCCGGTTTAACCCTTTCCAGGACAAATCTGTTTGTTTTCCTAGCAGTCCATGGTATTCTCAATACTCTTCTCCAGCACCACAGCTCAAAGGCATCAGTTCTTTCATCCTCCTTGGTCATTGTCCAACTCTCTGATGTATAACAAGTGATTGCAAAGACCATGGCCTGTATCAAATGCACCTTAGTCTCCAGGGAGACACCATTGCTCTTCAGTACTTTGGAGAGGTCCCTAACAGCAGACTTTCCCATGGCAATGCGCCTTTTAATTTCCTGGCTACTGGTGCCAAGAGTGTTGATTGTGGAGCCAAGCAAACTAAAGCTGTGTACAATCTCAATCTCTTGACCATC